TTTTGTTTTTTGTATTCCTTTTATGGAATCTGGTCAGCTGTGAGGTTCTGGGTATTTACTTGTCTCTCTATTGTCCAGACCGGGGTACCTAGTATTGTGATGCTAATACTTACTTCGTCTAAAGGAAATATTGAGGCTGTGGTGTTAAGAGTAGAGTAGAGTCATGTAGCATTCTTGCTTATCTATCCACATAGTGATTTATGGATGTACCTTCTATCTATCCTCCTACACTTTGGTACAGTACACCACCTCTACAAGATCTTATCCGACCACATACCTCCCTCCCTAACCCTTCCCCAGACCCAACTCTACATGCTAAAAAGCCCTTCCAGCAAAACCCACAACCTCCTGAGACACTCTGTAATCAATTTAATCCCCTTCTCCAATACATCCCCGCATCGACCTATACCCCCGCACAACCACTACTCCATTAACCAAACCCCCCCCCCTCCACCACCTTTACAAACCCCTCACCTTCCCAAGCGAAGTATAACGTCTCATGACCATCTTCTCTTCTATGATCCCAGTCTTGTTGAGAGAAAATGTATGTTGAGAATGACATACTGGGTGCCTTTTTCCAACCCCACTTTCGGCCGTATTTGGACTTGGGTTTGACGTGGAGATCGGGGAGGGCTATTTTTTTGGTTTCACCGTGTAGTGCAGGTTCTATTTCTTTTCCTTGATGGGGAAAGTCAGGGTTCTATTGCCTGGTTTGGGGCAGGGAATTATTCTTGTTTACTATAGATGGGTAATAGGTGTTAATTTGAATACCCATGTTCAAGTGGTGGAGATTTAATATACATATAGACGCTGTTTGCAGGATAGAATCAGATTATTTTTCTTATTTCTATCAATCATGCTTCATAAAATTGGCTCAGAAGTAGGTCATCTAAATAAAGACCCAAATGTTACAAGAAAAAACAGCATCAATTAAACACCAGGCCAACCAAGATTTACAGCCGAACGCATATATACTCCCCTGGTAAAGCCAGTCCATGCAATCATAATGAACCCTACATAACGCCTAGTACCAAATCCCACACCAGCAGATGATCAGCTCCAGAGCGGTGGGTGAATATACTCTGCAGCTCGGTCAAGAATGTTGGGTATGGTCCACTCCCCGCTGGTGGAACTTTCGGGAGTCGGAGGCGGAAGGGATCCGACACTGGGTGTCATGGCAGCGGAAACCGGTGGGACCAGGTTTTGCATGGATGCCGTAGCCGGGTTCAGGTAGGCGCCGTGGCCAGCTGGCAATTGGACATGAGAGCTGAACGCGGCTTCGAGCTTGTCCAGCGCGCGGAGGGTCTTAGTCAAGGGCTTAGCCCACTGAGTCTGCGTATCGACCGCGACGGCAGCCGACGCAGGGGAGGCGGTGCTTAGGGCGGCGGGGCTAGTAGCCGTTGTGTTGGTGGTAGTGGGAATGGCCGCATTGAAGCTTCCGTTGCGATCCGTTTGGGAAAAGCCAGACGCATCTCCCTGGCTAAATAAACCTTCCTCGTTGGCCCGTTCTGCAATAATCATCTTCATCTCGCGTAAAAGAGTCCAGAAACGGGGGTTCGTCTTCGACTCTTCTGTGACTGCGAGCAAGAAAACTGAACTGATCGCTCGTTGCAAAGCAATCCAAGACCGTGACGCATGGGAGCTAACGGAATGCATTTCAACATAGGCTTCGACCGTGGTCATCAAGTTGCTAACACAGTCAGAACGCATGCTGGTGGTGAGCGGGTCGTTGGGGTCGGCCGTCATTTTGAGAGATGGCCGGAGGAGCTCAGAGGAGAAGTAAGAGGAATGTAGCTTCAGCACGACTCTTTCAAGGTGTTCAGATGTAGAGAAGCAGTATTTCCGGTCACGCAAGTAAGGCTTCGCCTCGATCATGATGTGTTGAATCCTTTCTTTGTATGCTTGGATGGTCTTCTGGCTCAGCTGTGCGTGGGGATTGAGCATTCGACTGCGCACTACCTCTAACGCCAGAGATATAACCCGGCAGAGAGTTTCAAAGTACGAACACTCGCCAGGCGTTGAGTCCTCTTTGCAGGCTATCTCTGGTTGGCAGACAGCCGTGGTTGATGGTCGATCGTAAGAAAGCGAAAAATGGCTGTCTTGCCAAGCCATGGACCACCTATGCAGTGTTAGAATCATCGTCAACCAAAAATCATGGATCATAATGGCAGGCGCGGTCTACTCACCAAACATGTCGCCTACGGTATCTCTCTGCTGTGGAAAAGCGGCTTGATTCAACATGCAACCCAAGCGCCAGCCCCATTCGAAGGGTCATGCCTGGCATTGGTTAGCTAGATTGGCATAGTATTGGGCATGGAAGTAATTACATACCAAGAAGAACGTAGGAGATGCCGGGGTTCATATTATAGGACAAGACATTGCCAATCACAAGGAGGGTCTGAATCGCTTCTATTGTCGGCTGCGACAAGAAGTTGGTCATTCGAAGACACTGGTACGAGCAACATACTGCATCCAGTAAGTAAAACTGTTCGCAGATGGAAGTGGAACACGATGCTTACCATAAACCTGAGACGTCAACTCTCTCTCCTTCCCGGGCAAATCGGAGGACTGGCAGCCGGAGGCCAACACAGCAAACAATAATCCGAGATATGCTATAGAAACGCCAAATGGTTTTTGAGCTTGATCATTATCTGAACGGTATATCCCACCGGTGGCCGTTCTATTTCGCAAAAGAAGATCAAGGTGTATCTCAAAATTCGGTATGTCCTCGAGAACGGGGTAAATAGCACCGGCTATGTCCCGGTAGTAGTAGAAAAACCTAGTCACAGTTTAGTGTAAGAGCCTCCTAAAAAGGCGTAACAGGTTCTAGAAACATACTCCTTGCACTGCTGATCACTTGGGAGTGCGCTACAAACAGCGCTAATGTCGAACGTAGACATATCAGACGACCAGAGGTCGACAAACGGATACGTCGCAGATTCATTATCAAGACCCAGTTTCGGCAATATGCCACCTTCCAACAGGGCTTGCAGCTGGTCTGAGCCGGACTTGTTGTTCAATATATAAGCAAGGACCGATCGAGATCCCAAGTGGACAGTGCCCTCGCCCAACGTGTTCGGCGCATGGATACCCTCTCGCTCCGGGGAAGCGGCTTTGGAACGGCTACTTGCATCACCACTCTGCACGCTACCCGTCTCTAATGAAGACGCCTGTCCTTCTTCTGCCTTCTCAAGCCCGACACGGAGATTAGTGATGGTTTGCTCCATCTCCTTTAGCCTACTGCGCACATTATCCCACTCCTCACGCGCGATTGAGACTCGTCCGGCAGACGTCAATGGGTTCGATCTCGCCACGCCAGGTTCCTGTTTTAACCGGATAGGTGTCTCAGCAGATCCAGGGAGCCCGACGCTTTCCGATCCGCCCGGCGTTGCTGCAGGACTGTCGCGATATTGGGCAGGGCCCGCGCCGCCCATGATGCGTTTTTTCGAGGGCCGTTCGTACGAGCAGAGGTCGGCATGGTCGCGCTTAACACATCCATCACACGGGAGGTTGCGATCGCATTTAACTTTGCGCGCATGGCAGGGGTAGCACGCCTTCGGCTCACGCGCTTTCCGTTTCGTTCGGATAATCGCATCGACTTGGGATTGCGGGAGGTCGGAAACGGGTCTCGAGGGCGCAGCCGTCATGTCGGGGCCGTTCACCGACGGCGAGAACGACATGGACGGCTGGTATGGGGACGTCATTGGGGTATTTGAAAGGTTAAATTTGAATTACTGGGACTCGCTGTACTGCAGTGCTGCGACTTCAACTTTTTCGGTGTTTCAACTCGGATCACATACGAGGCGGATAAACAAGGTACGGGGCGGTTCAAATCGAGGTGATATCTTTCATAATTAAGTCGAGGAGAGATCCATAGTTCTAAATAATTAAATTAATTTCGGTAACTTCAATACTTGGCAAGCTTATCAGAATTCGTAGAGAGAGGACGAGGAGACAAATGCTACGGTCGGTCGCACTAACTAACTTGACCCAACGAACTATTGCGGGCGATGACTAAGGCCGCAATGTGAAATCACCACGTGATGAGGAGCGGGGAAGTTCAGCATCCGACAAACCCTAAACAAACGATTGGGCAATGACGTCTGGCTTCTTCGTTGTACCTAGGTTAAAACCTTTCAGTTCCTTCCGAAGTTCTTCTGCTAGATCAATTCTCTCAATAAAAGTTTTATTAAACATATCTCGGTGCGTATCTATATTAGTCATATTATTTTTAATCCAGGCTTTCAAAACATGTCACTCGTAAACTCCAACCAACGTCTCAGCTGCCAATTCTGTCGAAATTCCGAAACCCCAACCCGCCATCGAGGACACAGGAAATCTATGTCTAGTTCATTGTAGAAATAAATTTTGTGGCATGGAAACTATGTGCCGGGTTCTCCTGGAGAAAAACGCTTTTAGCTCTTCTCGACCTTGCTGGTATTCTCTTCATCTTCGTTGTAGGCATATCGCGAGAAGCGGCGAATAGACTCGCCCTTGAAATAGAAAACATAAGGAATGGCGCAGCAGGCCAAGGCAATAAAAGCCAGCAATGTACTGGCCCACTGGTCACCCAATCGGTCATACATCTGCTCAGTAAAGAGCACCGTTGACGCTCCCCATATGGACCGGAGAAAAGTCTTTGCGGCAAGGGCAGATGCTGCCTGGTGCTGGTACGTATCGACTACAATACCGTTAGTAATTAAGGTTTAGGAGGTAGAAGGGAGGGAAAGCTCACCAAGGTAGTTGTTTGCCGAGTTGTACAGGAAAATAAAGCCGAAACCCACTGGCCAGCCACCGACGGCAGGTCCAAACCAGTGAATCTGCGGGTACGATGTCCATGCGAAGATAAAAAGTCCAATAGGAATAAACCAGCACGAGAACATCATAGGGATCAGGCGTGCCTCTGCTGGGGGCTTTCCGCCATACTTTGGGTATAGCGATAGATAGTGCTTGTTGATAAATGGAGAGCAAGCCGCGCTCATGACGACACCAATGGCTAGGGGAATGAACATAAGACCAGTAGATCCGGCACTCCAGCCTTTTCCACCCTGATACACGATTGGGTACCTAAAGAATCATGTTAGAGTGTGGTACAAGCGGTTTGATATGAACGTGAAACTTACGCAACGAAGAACATGTACAGCAGGCCATAGAGCACGGACATGTAGATTGAGATGAACAAAACGATGGGTTCCAGAAACAAAAGCTGAAATGGGCGGAAGAAGAATATGCGCAGTTTCTCACTCAGCGGCCGAGAATCCAGTTCCGTTTCAGTGACGTACTTGGGGTCGTTCTGTGTCTTCCTGAGTTTCTTGGCTCTCCGTTTCAATATCGTTGGAGCATAGGTTTCGGGCACAGTGAAGGTGATCATCACCCAGGAGACGAAGGCCAGGATCAACATCAGCCAGTAGAGCCATCTCCACCCCGCGGCATCAGCCAGGTAGCCACCGGCGAGCGGACCAATGGCGGGACCAAGGAAGGGGCTTGCGGAGAAGGCCGCCATGGGGACACCCCGCTCTTCGTTTTTCCACAGATCCGCTAAAGTACCACCAACTAGAGTCATCGGGGCGCTAAAAGCAATGCCGTCAATTGCTCTGCACACGATGAGAGTCCCAATATTCTTGGACACCGCACAAGGAATGATGAAGATGACCGCTATGAGGAGTGTGAGGGCATAGACCGGCCTACGACCAAACATCTCTGACATGGGTGCGAACGCCATTGGACCTAACCAATCAGTACCGGAACAAGCAAGGAATGACCACAACACACGTACCAACACCAAAACCAATGACAAAGACCGTGACGACAACCAGACTGACTTCTCGCGAGACGCCAAACTCTTCAGCTGGGCCTTCTATATCGGCCGTAATAACACTACTTGCGAAGGCGACGACGAAGCAAGTGAAAGCAACCACCATGGTACAATACCATTTGAATGCCTTGGACCAATTCTTCGGGTTTTCCGGGTCGTCAATGGTGAACGTTACTAGCTTCCAATCCTCCATTTTCCCTGAAGCAGCGGATCGAACGGGCTTGATGATTTGACCCGCAGCGGTTTCTGTTGTGTATTCTTCTAAATTGGCATCGCGGGTGACTTGGCGCACGGGTAAATCCAAGTAATCTGTGTCTTGCCCAGACCCTGAGAGGGTCCGAGCTGCATCGCTTGAGCGACGTAGGTGATTATCTTGCATGTTTGTTATAGACAGAACACAAGGTTAAGTCATTGACTGGTTCGATGAGAAGGCTATCGTCAAGCCCTGGAATGGGCCATATGTGCCTCTTATATAGAAAAGCATGGCGCAAAGTTAAGGCGCGACCCGTGGATACGCAATCGCAATCTCTGGAAGCTAAATTAAGGGGCGCGAATTTTCCAAAGGATACCAGGTAGGAAAGATGCCCAAGATGGCAGCTCACGAGCTCAGCCTTGCATCCTTGTTTCCTATCAAATTACCCGATATGGAAGGTGGGCCGCTAACCTTATGAGGAAATATGCTACGATGACACTGCTTATCGCAACGTCTGATCGTGACTTGATAGCAACCATCTTCCCTTTTCCGCTCTAATTCTACCAACACATACATACTTACATACATACATTGGCTATGATTGTATGAATCCATTGCCGAACAGAGTTTTGCCCCACCCTCTACACCCAATGTATTACCTATTGATATACACCAATTTCACTTTCATTGCGTTATTAACTTATTATCCGAGTCGACTCTTTACGCGGCCAGGCCATGTGTTGTAACTTGTAAATGTATATATTAGGCTTAACAAGGCGCTCTATATGATATCATTGAGTTTAAGCTGCATTATGTGGAAAATTCAAATGCCTGTTACAATTCACATATAAATCTATATCAGTTTATGAACTACCCTAACAGCCTAATCAGTATTATAGTATCCAGCTTGATTACTCTAGATATATATATCTCGTCTTGTGCAGTATAGTCCTTCAGTTATGGAGTGCAAAAGGTAAACGTGAAGGTGCTGTCAGTGCTTGACTAGTGCTAACCCAAGGCCTCTTTCCGGATCCGATATCCGTGTGGATAGCACTTGATTGCTTTGATTGTGGACGTGCTCTAGTACTGAGTATAAAAGTTTGAATGTCTAGATCCGCCGCCAAGACTCTTGGCATCGCGCCATTTTCATTATGTCATCGGAATCCCGGACCACGGAGGGTATTACTGAATTAGGAAAGGTCCTTCCCGGTCAGGTGTGTCATGGATTTCAATTTTGAATTTTTTTTACCCTCTGTCTTTGACTTCTCTTGCTCCAGGTTTTTGCTTGCTGTCCATGAGCTTTGATACGGAGTATCCACTTGACACTCCATGGGGACAGTGCCAGACGGAGATTGGTCTCACTTGGATTCGATCTCAAGCAGTGTGGACGTAGAGTACCCAATCCACGTTGTTCATGCTACGGATTCCTCTCTTGACTGGTGCTTAAAAGTCAATGTCAGTGCTTTGCTATAGTCTAGAAAGATGTTCTTCCAAGGTCGAGAACTCGGACACGGTCACCATGGACCCATACTCCAGACTTTTGAAAGCCAATGCCATCCCCATCAATAAGGTGGACACGCACTCGCTGAAATACTGGGTCTGCCCCGTAGTGTGAACCTATCTTCTTACAACAGAAATGTATCCGACTATCGCAAACCCCTCATCATGACCCTTTGTGTGTACGCAGAGCAATGCATATAATATGACCACAGACCTGAGGCAGGAGATTCCTCCGGGGGTAAAATTTCTCCGGGGCAATGGCCCCACGTGACTGATAAGGTAAAGTGATAAGCCGAAATCGGCCTAGCGCGGGGCCTTTTTCCCACGCCTCCCAAAAAGAAAGAATTAATTTTTAGACAGCAAGACGGACGAGCAGCTCAAAGCCCGTCGCTGTGCTCCTCATCGCCAGTCGAACTACTAGTTCGAGGTGTGTCCCTGTACACATCTCTTCCAACGACTTGGACCTCTCCTCCTGAGTGTCCTATCTTATTCTTCTTCTCCTTCCTTCCCCGCCTCTCTCGTTCGCCTCCATCTCCGTTGAGTCATTCCGGGTCCTTCCTACAAGTTCAGAATGGCCTCCGCTTCCTCCGATTCCACCTTTCTGGCCCTCCCTGGGTCTGTTGCCTTCTCTCGCTCCCGGGGACATGCAATTGCAGCCAGCATTGGAGCTCAAGATGTTCGAGCCCAATGGATTCACTACGTGCATGCTTCCCAGCCCTTGGATGAACCGCAGCAGAACGTTCTGAAGCAGCTCCTGCAATATGGTGATATTACGGATATTCCTCCCTCCTTCAGCGCTGAGGACGGCCAGTTCGATGTCTTCTACGTCTTCCCTCGGACGGGAACTATTTCCCCATGGAGCTCACAGGCCACCGGTATCGCTCACGTCTGTGGCTTGCGCAAGTATGTCGACCGCATTGAGCGCGGATTGAAGATCTCGTGTCTCCGTGCGAGCTCCGCAGAATACAAGTCGGGTTTCCAGGATGTCTTGCACGATCGCATGACACAGGTCCTGGGCCAGGAAGAGCCTGACCTGCACCTGATGTTTTCCGAGCACAGCCCTCTTCCCCTTGAGACCGTCCCCCTTCACGGAAGCGACAAGTCTCCGAAGGAGGTATTGCAGGAGGCAAACAAACGGTTAGGGTTGGCTCTGGAAGAATCTGAGATTGAGTACATTGCGGAAGCTTATGGTCCCAATGGTCCTATTGCCCGTGACCCTACCGATGTGGAGCTCTTCATGTTCGCACAGGTTAACTCGGAGCACTGCCGTCATAAACAATTCAATGCTTCCTGGGTTATCGACGGAAAACAAATGCCCAATAGCCTGTTCGCCATGATCCGGAATACACACAAGAAAAACCCAGAGTACACAGTCAGTGCCTACAGCGACAATGCTGCAGTTCTCGAGGGAGACGTAGCCGCTCACTGGGCGCCTGACGCTACCACCGGGGAGTGGAACCATACGAAAGAACTTGTTCACTTCTTGGCGAAGGTTGAAACCCACAACCACCCTACGGCGGTTTCCCCCTACCCCGGTGCTGCAACCGGCTCTGGCGGCGAGATCCGTGACGAAGGTGCCGTCGGACGAGGCTCCAAGCCCAAGGCAGGTCTTGCCGGGTACTGTGTCTCCGACCTGCAGATTCCTGGCTTGAAACAGCCATGGGAACTGGATGTGGGCAAACCGAACCACATCGCTAGCAGCTTGGATATCATGTTGGAGGCTCCTATTGGTAGCGCAGCTTTCAACAACGAATTCGGACGGCCCTGCATTTCTGGCTACTTCCGTACTCTGCTGACAGAAATTGATATCGGCAACGGACAGAAGGAAGTTCGAGGCTACCACAAGCCCATCATGCTTGCCGGTGGTGTTGGAACTGTCCGGCCCCAGCATGCCATCAAGAAACCAGAAGTTGTAAAGCCTGGTGCTTTTCTCGTCGTCCTTGGTGGGCCTGCCATGCTGATCGGTTTGGGTGGTGGTGCCGCCTCCAGTATTACCTCGGGCGAAGGTTCAGCTGAGCTAGACTTTGCTAGTGTGCAGAGAGGCAACGCTGAAGTCCAGCGGAGAGCACAGGAAGTGATTAACGCGTGTACCGCTATGGGTGACAACAACCCTATCAAGTTCATTCATGACGTTGGTGCTGGAGGCCTCTCCAATGCCCTTCCCGAACTGATCCATGATTCCGGCCTGGGGGCTACTTTTGAACTTCGTGAGATTGACAGTGCCGACAAGAGCATGAGCCCCATGCAGATCTGGTGCTGCGAAGCCCAGGAGAGATACGTCATGGCTGTTGGGGAGGACTCCATGAACAAGTTCACAGCTATTGCCAACCGTGAGCGTTGCGGCTTTTCCGTCGTTGGTCGTGGAGGTGGAACGTCCGAAGAGGAGAAGAGGCTCGTTCTCATGGACAGGGACTCGACTGAGTACCCCAAGCCCATCGACTTGCCCCTGTCTGTTCTATTCGGAAAGCCTCCTAAGATGACTCGTGTCGTTGATTCCCGTAAATTGAAACTTCCCGCCGTCGATGCAACCCTGACGAAGTACCTACCTGCTCTTGCACCCAACCATGTCGAGCTCATTGGAGAGGCTGCCAACAGAGTCCTTTCTCTTCCCGCTGTTGCCTCCAAGTCTTTCCTGATCACGATTGGTGACAGAACCGTTGGTGGTCTTACTGCTCGCGACCAGATGGTTGGTAGGTGGCAGACTCCTGTGTCTGATGTCGCTGTCACTGCCACAGCATTGCTCCAAGGAGTGAAGACTGGTGAGGCCATGGCAATGGGTGAGAGACCGAGCCTTGCGTTGATCTCCCCTGCTGCTTCAGCACGTATGGCTGTTGCGGAGTCACTCATGAACATTGCTGCTGCCGATCTTGTTGACCGTCTCAGCCACGTGAAGCTCTCCGCCAACTGGATGTCCGCTAGCAGCCACCCAGGCGAAGGTGCCGCCATCTACGAAGCTGTGGAAGCTATTGGAATGGACCTGTGCCCCAAGCTTGGTATCAGCATTCCTGTCGGAAAGGATTCCATGTCCATGAAGATGAAGTGGACTGATGAAGCCTCTAAGGAGGCGAAGGAGGTTACTGCACCTATGTCTCTTGTCATCTCTGCCTTTGCACCGGTTAGCAACTACCGCAAGACCTGGACTCCCGCTCTTCGTCGTCTCGAGGATGTCGGTGACACTGTCCTTATGTTTGTCGATCTCTCCTTCGGCCGCAAGACTTTGGGAGGCTCTGCTCTTGCTCAGGTCTTCAACCAGGTTGGTGACGACTGTCCTGATGTCCGTGATGTTGAAATCTTCAAGGACTTCTTCGATGCTACCCAGCAGTTGCAGGACGCGGGCATTGTCCTGGCCTACCATGATAGATCTGATGGTGGTCTGTTCACTACCCTTGCAGAGATGATGTTTTCCGGCCGTTGTGGTGTTGAGGTCATGCTCGATAACATCTGCCCTAGCTCCGGCACGAAGGATGTTGTGGAAACGCTGTTCACTGAAGAGCTTGGAGCTGTGTTCCAGGTCCGCAAGGAACACGAGATGCAGTTCCGCTCCTGCTTTGCCACATGCGGCCCCCCTGCTGGTCTGATTCACAAGATTGGACGTGTTTCCGAGAGAACTAAGCAGAACCTTGCCATTTATCACGGACACACCCTGGTGTATCGCAACAACCGTGCCAACCTGCAGCAGACCTGGTCCAGCACTTCGTATCATATGCAGAAGATGCGTGACAACGCTGCCTGTGCTGATCAGGAATATGCCAACATTCTCGATGATGCTGACCCTGGTCTGTCATGGAACCCAACTTTCGACCCCAAGGATAAGGCGCTCCCTATGCTCACCAGCTTGACCTCGATGT